AGGCCCTGCGCCCACGAACAGCCCTCGGACAGGCGCAGGCCGAGCCCGTGCTGGGGCGGGGTGCGGGGCACCCGGGGTGGACGAGCTAATTTGGGTCCCGGGTGCTGCGGGGACCAAGAGGGCACCTAGGTTGGGGACCCCCGCCTCCACCCTCGGGCGGGCACGTTGGCCCCCAGGGGCGCGTCTAGAGCCTCGCAGCCCGCCCCGGCCCGCGGGAGCCCCGTGAGGTCTCGTAGTGGCACCTTCCACGCCACCACACGGATATTTCGGTCCCTATATTCGGGCAGCGACTCCGCCCGTCCAGTGAGAGTGACCAGTGCGGGGACAGCAGCCCCGGACGGCGCCCGGCCCCGGAGGGACAAAGGCGGCAGGTCGGCCGGCCAACAGCAGCCCTCGTCTTCCCCGGCTTCCATTTCAGCTCGGCCTTTGAGGCCAAAAACAACAGGGCAGGGCCCTGGGGTGGTGCCGCGCGGCGCTCAGCCCCAAGCCCNAAAAGTGGCTTCCTCTGGGGAGAACTGGGGGCCAGAGGGTCCAGTGGAGAATTCACTTTTTGCTATCAATTCTTTTGTATTGCTTGCAATTTGCACCAATATTATGTGTTAGCCATTGAGGCAATACTTTTCAGAAAATAGGGTGTCTCATTTATCCCATGACCAAACATGCTTTTGGGGAATTCCTTCTACATAGCAAACCAGACTTGGATTCAGGCGAGACATTGAAATAAGGCACCTAAAGCTCAGGCCAGAGCCTTACTGGCTATCCAGTCAGATTTCCATCTCCTGGGAGGGATTCTCAGGCCTTTCTCTGCTGGGCTGGCCCTAACCTGGAAATGAACCTGCCAGCCCAGAATATAAAACCCCAGTCATTCATAGCAACGGGAGAACTCCATTGTCTCAAAAGGAATTAAAGCCTGATCTTCAATCACACGCCCCCCCCATCCCTGAGTGCCTGAGGGTTTATAGACAAGGCCCCTACCTGCTCCTTCAGATTAGAGATTCCCACGGCCCCTAGCCATGGTGCGAATAGTAAATATTTTTTACGTGTATGTGTATATTTGGTGTATCAATTCTTGTCCCCAAGTTTCAAGAAGCTCCACATACTTGACTGGGGTGCTGACTACTTGAATTAGAGACAATATTACCACTCACTAAAGTTAGTTTTAAAAGTGCTTCTTCATGGAGCCTTTTGGGGGCCGGTAATGCTCTATATCAGGACCTGGGTAGTAGTTACACAAGTGTATACACATATAAAAATTCAGCGAGCTGGGTGCTTAAGATTTTTATGCTTTGCTATATGTAAGTTATATGGCAATAAAAAAAAATTTAAAGTGCTTCCTCATAACGACCTGTGAAGTAGGTCCCGAGGTTGTTATAATCGTCTCCATTTTACCGGCAAAGCAACTTAGACTCAGGGGCAGCTGGACGGTCCCCTGCCTCTGGGGGAGACAAGAATCACTCCCAGGCTCCTTCTCCTGGCCCTGCAGCTTTGGTGGGGGGCTCTTTCTTTTCCAGCCGTTTTCTCAGGTGGCAGGAACCAGCTCAGTCTAGAGCAGCTCTTCTCAGGGTGGCTGTGCGGGGAAACTGGGCCATCGACCTGCAGCTTTCTTCACATTCCTTAGCCTTTGAGCAGGGAGACGGTGGGGAGGCTGCTGTGCCCAGAGCCTGCGGTGCCCACAGGTCCCCACTTGTGTCCCTCTATAGAGGAAGAAAGCCTCTGGGGCTAGGGACATATTTCCTTTCCATCCCAGTCACCCCTGCCCAGGCGCACCCCTCAGCGGAGCCGGTGGCCCCAGAGACCCTCTCCAGGCAGCCGCACCCTCCCGCGGGGGACCCCCCCCCGTTTCTCGAAAGCACAGGCGGGGGTGGAGCGGGGCCGGGCTGGGGGTGCTCTGAAGGAAGGTGGCTGCAGTTACATGGCTGAGGACCTAGAAAGCGGTTGTTATTTATTCCAGGCACAGTCGCAAAAGGCTTCCAAAAATATCGAGCCGAGATAGTTTATTGCGCAGCCTGTCTGCAGCCTGTAATTATGCGTTCAAGATGTTTAATGTGTGCGAATGCATTAGGCGCTCGCGCTCGTGAAAGCCCGGCCGGCGCGGGCGGAGGCAGGTCTGGAGGCAATTACGTCGTACAGTCGCAAACATGATTCCGCTCTTACTGTAAACGGCCCCGGCCACCTTTACGAGAAGCCGGGAAAACCTCGGGAGGGACTCGCGGCGTTGACGCGGACCAACTGGCTTTTTCCCTGCTCTCCCGCGTGGTTCGAAGCGTCTCCGGGCGGCTTCTGTGCCAGGCCCCGGGGCGCGCGGAGAGGGCGCGCGGGGCCTGGCGCC